ATTCAAATCTTAAAAAAACTAAAGCAAACAAATGAACTGACAATTATAACTGCAGTTAATTGATAATAATTAAAGTTAAAGTTATTTCATGAAAAGCAAAGAATAAAGAAATAAATAAAATAAAATAAAAAATAAAAAATAAACGAAAAAGAAAAAAAAAAGTATATTAAATTGAAGTAAATTAAAGTTTAAATAAGGTTGATAATAAGTAAATATATAAAGATAGAAAAAGGAATCAGTGCGTTGGTACATCTTTTCTGCGTAATCTTGACGAAGGCCGCGTTAGCAATAGATTCCTTGCAAGGTGGTTCGGATGAATTTCAAGTTTTTGTTTGTATTTGCATTTGATTTTAGTGAGTTCATCTTTGATTAGTGGTATTTTCAGATCTTCATGAATTTTATCACTTCTTATATACCACGGAGCCCCAGTAATTATACGAAGGATTCTGGATTGAGTACGCTGAATTAACTCAATGTTGGAGGAACATGCATTACCCCATAGTTCAGCGCCATACTTCCAAATTGGCTTAAGTAAACTATTGTAGAGTAACACTTTGTGGTTTAGCCGTAACTTGGAATTTTTATGCAATAACCAGTGAATTTTTTGCGTCTTAAGTTTTATTTGCGTTCGCTTAGCTTCTAGATGTTTACGCCAAGTTAGTCTCCTATCCAAATGAACACCCAGATACGATACGGTGTTTGATTGCGGAATGGTGATGCCGTTGAAGGTTACTGGGGGACATGTATCCTTACGTAGGGTAAATGTTACATGTGTGCATTTACTTTCATTTACACGAATGCGCCAGTTGGCTAACCATGTTTCAATGAGTTCGAGGTGTTCAATTAAGTCCCTAGATGCTATGAATCTATTTTGGTGAGAACTAAGGACAGCAGTGTCATCAGCAAACGTAGATGTCACAAGACGAGAGTTGCTTGGTATATCCGAAGTAAACAGGATACAAAGTATTGGACCTAGAACACTGCCTTGAGGAACTCCAGCCTTTATGTCTAGATTAGCTGTTGTATGGCTTCCAACTTTTATATGGAATTTCCTGTCCTGAAGATATGACTCTAGTATTTTGTGAGAGTAGTCAGGAGTAAGTTCCTTGATTTTATAAATAAGTCCAGCGTGCCAAACCTTGTCAAAAGCTTGTGCTATATCAAGAAATATAGCAGAGCAGAATTTTTTATCTTCAAATGCTTTCCTAATCTCATTTGTTATGCGATTCACTTGCTCGATGGTGCCATGTTTGGCACGAAAACCAAATTGGTGGTGAGGTATTATGTTATTTTGCTGTAGATATGTTGTTATCTTCCCGAGAAGCATTCGTTCAAAAAGTTTTGACAGCATTGGTAAAAGACTTATTGGTCTATATGAAGACGGTAATGTTAAGTTTTTTCCTGGTTTTGGAATCATTATAATTTGTGAAATTTTCCAGCTTTGAGGAAAGTACCCAAGTCGAAGTATTGCGTTAAATATTTTTGACAGTATTTTGAAAGCTATTTGAGGTAACTCTATTAGCATTTTTGCTGTAATTTGGTCATATCCTGGGGACTTGTTGACACATAATTGGGTTTTTGCAACCTGTTGAATCTGTTTGGTTTTGAGTTTAAGACGCCCATAATTGACTAGAGGAGATTGAATTGGTAGTTCAAAGTTATTGGTCGGAGGATTTGGTTGAAATACCTGACTTAAATGGTCTGCGAACACATTTGCTTTGTCTACTTCATCCCTAGCCCATTTTCCGTCGGCTTGCCTGAGCGGTGGTGCACTCTCCTTAGGTGTTTTTAATTTCCTTACCGATCGCCATAGGGAATAATTCGTACTTTCTGTAGGTGTTAGCTTTCGTACGTAGGTGTTCAAACTATTTTCCATCTCTATGAGCAATGCTTTTTTTAGGCGTTGTTTAGCTGCCAAAAACTTGAATTTACTTGTAGGTGATCTATGCTTTTGCCACATACGTCTCAGATGTCTTTTTTCTCTGACGATATTTTCAATTGCATCTGAAGACTTTCTTGTAGATCTAGTAAAAGTTATCTTATCAGTAGGAGTAGCGTGCTTAGCAGCCAATTTTAAAACTGTGTCAAATCCATTAAGAGCCGAATCGATTTCACTTACACACTGTAGAGATGGGTTTATATCTAAGTGGCTACTAATATATTGACGATATCTTAGCCAATTGGTTTTCTTTGACGTCAGTTTTGATGCGCTTTGATTGCTTATAGGTACCTTAAATAAGGTTATAAAAACTGGAGAGTGATCGGATGATAGTTCGAAGCTAGAGTGCGCAGATATTAGTTCGCGGTCAATATTTTTCACTACACAAAAGTCGATTAGATCTGGTATTTTTTTGGGGTCTGATGGCCAGTAAGTGGGTTGTCCTGATGATATGAAATCTAAATTGTTGCGGCGATTTGTAATGGTAGAGTAGAGTTGCTTTCCTTTTGGGTTTATTAGACGGGAGCCCCAGTATGTATGTTTAGCATTAAAGTCTCCCGCTGCTATAAATTTTTTACCGAGATTATAAAAGAAATCCACGAATTAAGCTTCTGTTACAAGAAATCTAGGAGGACAGTAGACAGCACTGAGCACGACTTCATCTTCAATGAATTTAATGCATATTGACGTAGCTTGTATGTGGGCTGTGGAGTGCTGTTCTAGGACGTGATGCTTAATTCTTGAATTAATTAGAATTCCTGTTCCCCCGTGGGGCTTATCTTCAGGATGGTTTGTGAAGTAAAAATTGAATCCAGGTACAGAGAAGTTGTGTTTACTACATAGATGGGTTTCAGATATTAGAAAAACATCAATATTGTGGGACGACAGAAAATTTATGATTTCAAGTTTGTGCTGGCGGATGCCGTTGGCATTCCAGTGACACATTCTAAGACAGTTCATTTATTAGCTGAAAGAAACTGCATCATTTGGTTTTGAGATTTTACTATATCTTGCACTAAGTTTTGCATTGAGGCCATAAAGTTCGTCATAAGCTGGGTAAGAGTTATTAGCATTGATTCTAAGTTTTGATTGGGGGTTACTGAATTTTCAGGAATTTGTTTAACTAAACCATTTTTTAAGACGGCTGAGTATGAATTAGCTGTTTCAACTTCTTTTGTGTTTGTTTGGTTAATATTGACTGGATTTAGTGGAATTATGGATGGAGCATTTGGTACCTTTTCGGAGCGTGGGATAGCTTTATTCTTAATTTCGATATAAATTGGACAGCCACGGTAGTTTGCAGTATGATTACCACCACAGTTGTTACATTTTCTGGAATTAATGTTGTTTTTATCTGTACTGCATTGAGTTGAGTGGTGAGCACCACCGCAGGCCACACAAACTTTGCGCAGAGTACAATAACTTTTAGTATGCCCAAATTCCTGACAGTTTAGACATTGCACTGGAGTTTTGCGTTTATGAGGCTCCTCCACTGTTATCTTACGGTTTAGCAAGAAACGCAAGTGGTAAATTGGATGAATCTCGTTATTTTTTAATTTTTTAGTATCTGGTTCTAATTCAATTTTATATAAAGGTTGAGGAATTTTATCTTTGTTTTTTATGTTAAAAACTGATTTTACCTCAAAGCCAGCATTTTCAACAGCAATTTTTATTTCTTCAGTATCAGCATTCGGTTCGATGCCTTTAACAACTACTGCTATTCCCTTGCTACTTTTGAGCTGATAAGTATAAAAATTTTTGGAGTTTTCCTTTAAATAGTCGTTAATCTTACGGAACTGGTGTTCGGTTTCAGTTTGTATCTTCGTTTCTTCTATTGCACCTCTTTTAATTTTATATTATAATGTTCAATTTTCTGTGATTCCAATTGATCGATTTGATTTTTGATTTCTGCAACTTTGTTTGCGTTAAGATCCTTAAGGCGTTCCAACATCTTATCAATATAATCATCATTCAGTGACAGAGCGCTTTTCAATTTCCCTTCGATTGACACCTTTTCAGAAATCTTTTGCTGCTCCAATTTTTCAATTTCTTGTGAATCAATATTCAATTTTTTCTTTAGGTCACTAAAAATAGCTTCACGCTTCTCCACATAATATTCCATTTTAGATTCCAATTGTTCCTTCATTTGATTGATGAATTCATTGGCGATTTCATCCTTTTTACGTTTTGCCTCTTCAATCTTAGCAAACTTATTGTTTAAAGCTGCTATTTTCTTTTGGTCCAATAAAATACGCCTCTCTTCGGCAGCCATCAATTTTTGCTCAATCTGTTTAGCTGAGACATTTTTACTAGGTGAAAGTGGACGCTTTGGTAGAGTAACATATGGTGCTGGTTCAGCTAAAATCACTTCATAACTTAAACCGCCGTGAGATTTCTTCTGGCAGTGAATCTCAGTGGCTTCATCAGATTCATCATCTACAGCGACAACTTTATCAGCAGTTTGAACCATGATTGTAGTTTGAAAATTTGTTTGTATTTATATATATTTAAAAAGAAATTGCACAAAATTTCATACAAAATGATATAAAAATTATTTTAAGCGCATTTTTTTTAAAATATTTATTCACTACTATGTTTATATAAAATTTTATTTAGACTGTACAATTTTTTATTTATTATTTATTAAATATTAAAAGAGAAAATAGTGTTGTTGTTTTGCGTCAGCCAGAAAAGGTAGTAACTTGCTGTTTTTTGCCACACTTGCGAGCCACCGAAAGGGCTAGTCGATCTCCAAACTCTCCATGACAACCAAAGAGAGTGTTTTCGCCAGTAATTTCAGCTTAAATTGGAAAAATCTCGACTTATAGAAATAATAACTGCGGCATTTAGAAATTGAACATCTCTCAACCTAAATGGAAGTTTCAACCGATAAGCTGAAAACAAAACTTAAGAAAACAAAAGTTGTCAATAAAACCTATTCACGGCCGATTCTACAGGTCCATAAACGTTGACAATATTTATAAATTAATGTCAAACAAATTGCTATTAAATAGAAACTTGTATGCTGTGACCGTAGCTTTTATGTTCGTCATACAAGACCTAGTAATCCCAACGAAAAATAGTAGAAAGAATGTCATAAAAGATTCAAATATCTCCAATGATACTTGCAAAAGATGTATGAATCAAACCGAAACCATTGAATATATAATATCAGGATGCACGAATTTGACACAAACAGAGTACACGCGAAGAAATAACGTCGTGAAGATCCTCCACAAAAACCTATTTAGTAAATAGAAACTCCAAGCAGAGGAACAACCGTACTACAGATATAATCCACAACCAATTATGGAGAATGAAGATGTCAAGATATACTATGACTGAACAATCTACTCAGATCGTACGAGACTCGATAACCGCCCAGATATCACGATTCTTGATAAGAATGAACATAAATGCTATTTCATTGATATTGCAATCCCTACTACCAGAAACATGAGTCGTACGTACATAGAGAAAATTAGCAGATATGCTGAGCTAGCAGTGGAAACTAAACAAAACTGGAACCTTAAGGAAATCAAGACCATTCCAATAGTAACAAGCGCTGAAGGTGTAATTGACAAACATTTCATGTGTACAAATGAGAGCATCTTTGGACTCCGACAAAACCTTGTCGATACCATGCAGAAATCAATCCTCATCGATACCTGTCATATCACAGGACTGAATACCTGTCATATTAGTTGATTTCATCAACTAAATCCTCATATACAAATAGAATAATACAATATATTTTGTTTTAAGCTAAGGCTTCCAAAATATATTTTTATACCCACTAAGGAAAAAAATAAGAAAGAAATAAAAATAATAATAATAATAATAATAAAGATTTTATTATAAATTCATTTTATTATTTAAATTATTAGAAAAATTTCTATATTATGGCCGTGTGTGAATTCGAGTAAATTGAGGTAAAGTAAATTAAAATTTCCTCGAGATATTTTGCACTGCATTTATTTACACTTATTTAATATTTTTCTGTTCAAAGTTTTTAAATTTATAAGGTAAATTTTTTCTTGCCGATAATGGCGTGTTTTTTTATGACGAAAGAAACTATTTAAAAGTTTTCAAATTTATTTATTATTATGTTGAGGCTAATTGAGTCAGTGCACTTGAGCACTTTTTTTCTCTATTAACTGCGAGGTTTCTTCATAACCCTTCTCTACGTCTTGCCGGATTATTGTTTATTCCTTCATCAGACTAAACAATAATTGATCTTAGATTTGCCTAACTCCCCGAGGAGTCTGTAACCATTCTGAGAATCGATAACGCAGTGTTGGTAAGCCTGTCAGTTTTCGTAAATAATTTCAGTGCTCTATCCTTTATTTATTTAGTTATTAAACATCTTATAAAATTTTCAGAATGATAATACTTAATTTTTACCTACTTTATCCTACTCGAAATTCTGGTAAATGCTAACATTCGTTGGTATACCGACATAATTTACTATTTCCCTCAATTTACCATCAATTTACTAGAACTCGCACACAGCCTTATTGCACTTATTGATTATTTTTCTGTTAAAAGTTTTCAAATTTATTTATTAAACATCGTAGAAAATGTTCTCAATGGTAATAACTAATTTATCTAATTTTTATTTAATTTACCCTACTCGAAATTCATGGTAAATACCAACATTCGCTGCCATACCGACTTAATTAACTATTTCCAATAAATATATTAGAACTCGAATGCGGCCTATATCGTAATAATTTAAACAAATTATTTTTTTTTGATTATTTTTTTATAAATTATTTTTTTTTAAATATTATTCTTTTTAAAAATGATTTTTTTTTTAAACATTATTTTTTTAAGCATTATTTTGGTTTAAAAATAATTTTTTTTTAATAATACTAGATTCACATATACGTATAAAATTTCATATTTCAATAGTTTTAAATAAATTAAAGTAAAATTTTTTTTTAAGAAATTTAATCAAATTTAATTTTTTAATAATTACAGTTTTTTTTTTCCAAAAATAAATTCAAATATTTGCTTACGTCCAACTTTACTTCCTCAACTGTTAACATTTGTTGTTATTTTTTTAATTGTTCTCATTTTAGGCACTCAACCACGAATGAATTGTTGTTGTTTTTGCTGTTAACATTCAACTGGGGGGGCAGTCGTCAGTCGTCAGTCGTCAGCTGTTAATTGTTTTGCGGCAGGAGAGCAATTGAGAGCTTCGCAACCGAAAGAAGAGCGACGGAGAAATTTTAAGACTTGCAAAAACACTGAAAAATGCGATTAAGACAACAAAAGACAAACTAAGCGTCAACATACATTTTAGTCTAGCGTGAATTGTTGCTTTAGTTGGTTAACAGCGCTGTGTTCAACTCGCGTGGAGTACGTTCACTTCATAGCCAAGCCAACTTAGTGATTTTGTATGTGTTTCAATTTACTTTTAAACAACAAAAACAAAAATAAAAATAAAAAAAAATTAGAAAGAATCTTCTGTCTATCTACCCTACCCTACCCCCTTGTGAAGAGAGAAGAATAGTAGCAAAATAAAAACAAGTTGGATTGGATACCGTTCAGTAATATAAGAAGAAGAAGAAGAAGAATTTATATGAGAATAAAAAAGGCAAAATAAAACGTGTACCGTTGCGTTGTTGGCAATTATTTTACAGTAAGAATAAAAAGCGTTTGGCATCACGCGATTGAAAACGAGAACGAGAACGAGTAATAGTAGATTTGTACGTTAAAAGCAAAAAAAAACTCGAACAAAATTTGAATAAAAAAATCCTATTAGAAAGTTTAAGTGCAAATTATATATATATAGATATTAAAATTTGTTCAAATATAATGACAACTTCAACGCTTAAACCACACAATTCCAAAACGCCAAAAGAAAACAATGAAGCAGATGCGAATTCCACCAGTTCATTGACCGCGATTGAGAAAACAGACTCAGAGGATAATTCTTGGGCGTCAGATGGTTTCAATTATATAAACCCATTTGTTCACCGGGTGAACATTGATAATCATGTTGATTTAGCCAAGGTAAGTTCAATTTTAAATATTCAATAGTCAATATGTATAGTTTTTTATTTCCGCTTTTTCTGTTATTTTTTTTTTTTTCGTTTTAATTTTTACTCATTGATAAATTTTTTTCGTTCTCTTCAACATGTACGGCCTTCATTATAAATTCATTTAGTATGTCTTCCTCTTACGGCCATGCATGCACTTGACATTCATTCGTTGCCGTTCTTTGATTTGCTTACGCTGACTTTGATTTCATTTTACTTTACACTATTTTTTTTTTTTTTTTTTTGGTTTTGCCAAACTAAACTAATTTCGACGTTGTTGTTGTTTTATTGTTTTTTTCTTAATCGAGTTCGCAATTAGTCTCTCATCAGCAGTTTTTTTTTGCCTAAACTTTGTTATTGTTTATATCTTAAGAAAAAAAAGTGCGAAGTGTGGTGTTCCCTTCCACATATGCTGTTGATGTGATTTGGGTTCGTGGAATTTTCTATATTTATAAATGATAAATTCAAAATTCTCATGATCTTTAATCGGAATTAGTTCATTTTTTATCTTATTTATTTTTTGTCACCTTAAATTTTTTCCCCAACTAAAATAAAACTTAATAGAAAGTAACTTAAAAAGCATTTTAAGTAAGTTGGCTGTAAAATAGGGGAACCACTTTTCCATTTACACAAAAGAAGAAAAAATCAAGAGATATTTTATATTCTTTTTTAAAAAATTGATTTAATGTTGAATATGTTTATAGAGAGGTTTTCTATTAATATTTTTGGTGTCTATATATTCTTTATTTTTTTCGTGTTGTTATATGGCACTTTTTTATTACATTTTTGTTCCTAGTTCTTCCGTTCTTTTGGTGCTATTGTTGTAGTCTCCTTTGAATGTGGCGTACTGTATTTGGTCGTCGAAGTCGACCAGTGGCACCGAAGCCATTCTTGGAATCTTCTATTAGTGCTCAGATGGAGATACTTTAGCTAATTCTCTTTTTATATTTTGTTTGTAGTGCTGTTAGCTTGCACTTTGGCACATAAATATTTTAATGTATTTTTATCAGGACAGTCTGGGGTAACTTTTTTAGTCTAGATTCACATTTAGAGTAATTCCCATTTTCGATTTGTAAGGGTCCTGTCCCTTAAAATTTTTAATTTTATTAGTATTGTTAGCAAATTATTATAAGAAGACTTCTCAAGGTACCATGATCGTTCTAATGTACCATGATACCTTGAAAAGTCTTCTCAGGGTCCTCAAGATTGATCCAAAATTGATCAAAAAATACATAAAGAATAGAGCCCTGAAATTATTTACAAAAACTGACAGACTTACCAACACCGCTTTATCGAATCTCAGAATGGTTACAGGCTCCTCGAGGAATTATGCAGCTCTGAGTTCAATTATTGCTTAGTCTGATGAAGTGATAAACAATAATTCAATCAAAACGCAGAGAGGGGTTATGAAGAAACCTCATAGTTAATAGAGAGTAAAAGTACTCAAGTGCACTGACTCAAAGCTTTTTCTTATAGTGAGCATAACTATATTTCCTTTTCAATTTAGGCTCAACTAAAAAGTATAAAAATAGTAGTAAAAATATGATATTGCTCTACACTCTACATGACAATACTCTAGATATTTTGCCGGAATTTTAAGGTAATCTTGCTATTACCTTAAGACACACAGCTGTTTTCTATGAGATTGGCTATTTTATAATGAGTTATTGTGATTATAAAATGGGTAAGAAATTTGTCTTTTACATTCTTTGTCTGTGGCCATCTTTAGTCAATAGAAGATTAATAATTTTTCGGGAATCTTTTCTTATCGATCTGATAGAGCTGTTATCCTGTAAAATCAGGGACTTAGTTATGTTTATAACCCTATGTGGCTGATTCATTTTCGCTTGAGTACGTCTACAAACGACACTCTAATCTAAGAAAGTCAACTTTGTGAATAAAACATTTTTATCGTTTGGATTAATTACTTTAGTAAATGATGGAGGGGATTTTTATAATATGAATATAACTTAAAGTTAATCTATTTTGTGCAGTTAATTTCGGTAGAAAATTAAAACTTTTTATTGCATAATTATTATTTTTTTCTTTTGAATCAAACTATTCAGTTACTTCACTCTTCAATTAATTATGAAACAATCACTTTCAAACCTTAATATTTGGGCTATCTGAATTTATTTTACTCATATATAACTAATACTTGAAAATAAATTTAACTTTATATATAATTTTATAGTTATTAAATAACTTTTTATATTGTCTAACCAAAAAAAGTCTCATTCATTAGAAGTTATGCTGATATCATTGCTTAAATTGATAAAACTTTTTTTATTGCCCCAATAAATCTATAGTGTAAACGAACGCTCTCTTCTGTACTTAATGTGTACTGGAAATTATCAAAGTTGAATTGGAAAAAAAATGATAATCATTTTTAATACAGATTTTGTAGAAGTACGAATTTCCCTTGATAACTGGTAAAATTCTAAACATTCTGGTAATTATCTGTAAAAAATGTACAGATTAAATATTTCGTAGGTTTCATAGATTTATATGAATTTATTGTTTAAATCTATTAATCGTTGATTATAATCTATTTGATATAATGTGCGGTACTATATTCAAATGGAACAGTAAAAAAATTATTTAAAGAAAAATTAATGAATTTATTAATACTTATGACAATATCAGTTGTTTATATAAATGGTGGATCAAGTATATTGCTATTGACTATTTGCATTGCAGTCCTTATATCAGTGTTTCCATAATAAATGTATAATATATATATTATTTTTATTTTTTGACGAGATCAGAGATACTGTTGTATTTCTTTATTTACATTAAGATAGATTAAGATGGATGACTTCCATGGCTTAATGTGATATATATATTGTTTTTCTTTATAAGTATTGTAGTCCCTCTTATATCACTATTTGCAAAACAAATGTATAATATGCATTATTTTTATTATTATTATTAGACGGAATCAGAGATATAGTTTTTCTTTATTGCCAACGAGATGTATCTTGTCATTAGTTCTAGTTTTTCATTATAACATATATTATATTTTATTTTGGAGAAGTTCGCAGTATTCAAAGTTCTTGAATGTGATTCTCAGCATAAGAGTATACCATTTTTTTTGGAGACTGTTTTAACTGTTAAATTGAATTATTCATATAAACAATAAATATATTCTAAGTATAGATAATGTAAAACATTATGTATAAATAACAGTACATTCTTATTACTCATAATTATTTTTTGTCATTTCCATGTAAATTTTTGCGTTATATTTTTATTTGTTTATAATTGTTTATTCTTTAAAAATATTAAAATTATTTATTTATCACTGAGTTATTGGCTGTGTAATTCCAGTATGAGTCATTTTTGCGGATAATCTCACGTCATTCACACTTTTGTTCTCTCTTTGAAAAATATTTATATTCCGAAAATAAATAGAAAATTTGTTTATTTCGATTTCAGTTTTTCTTAAAAGTCCACATTTGAGGTTGAAAAAATTTCAGCTTCAATGTTAATAATATTTTGACCGTGGCCCCCTCTCAAGTGACCTGTAACTGTAACCCAGATTTTTTCATTGAATTGAAGATTTTGTGTCGCAACTGATTTTAATCTCAAAATCTTGTATTTTCGTAAAGTTTTAAAATTATAGTTAGAATTATAATTGTAATTATAAAATACATAATTAAAATTTTATTTTTCCGTAACTTATTTTTATAATTAAAAATTTTTTGGTTTATTAGAATTTCTATATATTTATATATATTTATAGCACAAAAGATCAATCATGGTCGCAGTGCTCTGCTCAAATGGGAGCTAGTACCCTGTTATTTCCTATTCCTATATATATTTATCCACCATAACAACTGGTTACCTAGTTTTGGCCTGACGCAAATATTTAATATTTATATTTATTGAAATTAAATACAACTATATATAATTTCCATATTCATATTGATATATCTTGACGTTTAATTTTTTATTATTTATAATGTGTACTTAATAAAAGAAAATCAAACTCTCTTATTGAGCCACCGCGTAGAGATATCAGTCTTGTAGTAGGTTTACTAACAAGTAATTGTATTTTAGATAACCATGCTAGGAGACTAAATCTCTCTTTCAACTATACTTGTCCAGTTGTTCTGTCCAGCACATGCGCGGCATCGCCTTATTACTTTAGGGTCTTTCTTTTTTGAGAATCTCTGTGAACTGCATGACCTCCCTCTGAATAGTATTATAAGCTTTGCCAAAGATTTTAAGTGTTTCTAACCCTTGAGTTTTTAATTATACGGTAACACAATGGGCCTAAAGGTCTAAGTGGATCGCAAAGGATCGCAGGATCAATTTAGAAAAAAAAATTTTAATTTATTTAACCTAAAATTGGTGCCAGGTCTTAAGATATTACTGGCTAATGAAGAAATCAGAAATACCACTTAACTTTTCTTCACATCAATTCTTCCTTCCTCTTGAAATGAAAATAATAATTAACAGGATACTGGCTCTTAATGCAGCAGAATAGAGCAACCCTTTAACCTTAGCCTCTGTGATTTTTTACATAGAATACTTCAAATTAGCAAAGCAAAAATGTCAAACCACAGGTCATGATATAAACTGTCTAAAATCAATAAAGAATAGAGCTACTATGTGGTTTCGCCCGCTATTTTCAATATCCAATACAATTATCGTATTAACGCGACGCTAAGGCTCTTCGCAGACCTCAAATGCGGTATCGAAAGGTTGCAAAAGCGTTGGAATGATTGTATCTCCCTAAAAGGGGACTATGTTGATGAATAAAAACGAATTTTGGCAAAAAAATGTGTTTTTTAATTAGTTAGTCACACACATTATTGAACGAAGTGTTACTATATTTGTAGGTATACCAACCGGTTTGAGACTTCTTTTAAAGTCCTAAGATCTAGCATATCAATATTGGGATTTAGTTTTCCCATACCTTTAGGGATTTAAGAGTAAAGTAAATCTAAATATGTTCGTTATTTTTTAAGGAGTCCGTTACTGTTGTATAGTATTTTGTTGTAGACAGCACAAAAATGTACGTGTACTTTCATATATGCATTATCATATCATATCTTTAATATTAGTAAATATTTGCTGTTAACATTTCATTTAATCCATTTAAAAAAATTCTATCGATTGATTCACTTTCTTATCTCTGCTTTAACGCATTTCACGGCTATTTTTGTTTTAGTTTCAGTTTATTTTATTAATTTTTTTTTGAATACATATTATATTTACTATATGTATGACAGTGTGTATATATTCTCCAAAAATATTCAGATATTATACCGATATTTATTTACGTAAATATGTAAATTTGGCGTTTCTTTTTGGATAAATTTCAAATTATTTATACTCGCATTCTGCGAAGACTCATGAGAAATCCCACGCAAATCTTCTCGACTTTTTAAAACATCGAATATTCTGCATATTTTTCTTCTCAAACAGTTTATGAATACTAAAAATAATAAAGCACGTAAATATTTATTTTTCATTGAAAAATTTAAACAAATTTTAGCTATGCAAATGCAGTATTGATATTTCCATATTGAATTCTCTGCAATTAAAATGCAAAATCGACCGACGTTCATTTTGCCGTCCATCATTGAAGTCTTAAATTTTTACTACCATATCAATCGAACATTGCCTGGTTTATTTCAAGTTTAACTTTTATTATTTTTATGATTTTATTTAATTAAATTAAAAAAAAAACAAGTTATAAACAGAATTAGTCGCTCTAAAGATACTGGTTTGAGTCTTCAAGTTTTAAATAATCTTAAATTAAAAAAAATATATATATATAATGTAATGTTATTCTGATGAATAATGTGAATAATACATATATCTAAAGAAAAGGTTAAGATTTTATGTCTTTAATGTAAGAGAGAGTCTTATAGATTGTTTCTCTTTTCTTTACTGTTGTCAAATGTCTTTAAGTAATATATGATTTAGAATTGTTCTTTGATAGAAGATGTTCTATAGATAGATAGATACTTCTTTATAATTCAATTTCAAAATTTTTTAACATAAGTAAGTATTATGCCTTGACATAGGTCTAAAAACATTGGCTAAACTTACTTAAAAATATATTGAAAAGCAAAGAATACGACAATGACTTGATAGATAAAAGATGTTCTATATAATGTTTTTTAAGTATTTAGAATAAAGCAACTGTAAATTTGTAAATTTTTATTTATAGAATGTCTACCGCTTAATGAATATCAGAATTTTACAACTCTACTAGAGACTCGATTTTCTTAACAAAAGATCTGTTAAGATCCGAGCTATTCCAGTTATAGCTTTTCTGTATTATTTTTTTTTTTTAAAGAAACATAATACCATCCGTGGATAAGGTTTCCAAACGTAGTTATAACGTGAATAAATTATGGCTAAGCCTAAACCTAACAATATCCCTTGATTCCAAACTTTAAACCTTTTTGGATGTAATGAAAACAAGAAAAATATATTCAAGCATAAAATAACCAGATAGTTTGGCTTCCATTATTCCCATTTTTGATAAGAAGTAGTAAAGAAATAACATGCGCTTAATCTCAATTCAGTCAAATTTCAAATTTGTTTTTGAATATTTTCGGTCACTTGGAATGTATCATTTCTCTGCCCTAAAACTCCAGACTTTATTAGTTCCAATAAAATTTTTGGGGTCAAAAAACTATTAAAAATTGTCAAAACTTATGATTTTTCAATTCAATATTTTTAGATTTATGTGCTTTCGGTGCTGTTGTTACCATTTCGTGTAGTGGGATGTGTACTTTCGCTTGTATCAGCATGGATGTTCGCCTGTATAGGTCTCTATGGCATGACCTTGGATGATCTAAAAATAAAACCTTTGACAGGATGGCGAAGGTAAGTTTTTTACTTTTTAATATATTTTTTTATTCATAAAAATAAATAAAATAAATATTAATTTATTTAATCATTAATATATTTAAATTTAGGCAACTGCAACGTTTAACGGCTGGCTGTATGCGTATGGTTTATGCATCGGGATCATTTCATTATATAACATTTAAAGGAGAAAGAGCATCACCGAAAGAAGCACCAATAATGGTTGTAGCACCGCATTCCTCATATGTTGATTCTATAATTGTTGTTGCTACTGGACCACCTTCCATTGTTGCCAAGCAAGAGACTTCACAAATACCGCTTCTTGGAAGTAAGATTTTATTAATAATAAATTTGTGGTTTTTAAAAATTGAAATGTATAAGTTTACTATTTCTGGAAGACCGCAATTTCTTACCGGATTTTATGTAAATTTTGCTATTATAAGTAACTTTTTGTAACGATTTAACCATATTTATATATATATATCGGCTGCCTTACTTAGCACTATCTAATCTCAGAGTAAACATTAACCGCACGGGGCGGTATGTAGATCTTAGATCAGTCATTGAATAATCACGAAGCTTATGAGGAATACACAAATTAATCAGTGAGATGGGTGTGACTCTGCAGAAACCCCACAGCTATCAATGAGTAATAGACCCCAGATGCACTAACTCGGAAAAGGCTCAAGATAATAATAATAATATATCGGGTTTTTAAGTTTTAAACCTTTTGCTTTGATTACACTAACATAAATAAATGCGTAAGCCTAGCGGATATGAAGTATAGTATTAATCGAATAAACATAGAATAGAATTAAGACATAGAACGGAATCTATGTCTTACATTGAATAATTTTTAATTCTAAAGCCCAATAGCTGGAGAATCAAGCTATGTCGGCATAAAGTGTGGTAGAAAAAGTTTTTCAGAATGGCAAACATTATTAAAATTTATAGTTAAATTGCGGCACTGAGGAAAAGGAAATCGTGCGAAACAAAATATAGCTTTAATATCCTACACTTTTATTTAATTTAGAGAAGTACTTTTAAGAATTAAAACTTGAAAGTAACTAACAATCACATATAATTATGTCTTTGTATAAAGTTAAAAAAATAGATTAAACATATTTTGTAATTATTTTTAAAGAGGTTTCGAATAATAGTGAATTGCAACAACAAAAATTTTTATTTATTTTAATAAATAAAATTTTTGGTTGATCAAAATGGACTTCCCTAAAAAATTCATAAGTCACTACTATTCGAAACCTCTTAATTAAATACAATAGTTTCTATTAAGACACTAGCGTTATAGCTGACATTAAAATCAAATTTTATATGTAATTATTTTTAGAAATAATCAATTATGCTCAACCGATATATGTGCAACGCGAAGATCCCAACTCTCGTCAGAATACTATACGTGAAATCGTAGATCGAGCACGGTCAAAAGATGAGTGGCCACAAGTTGTTATATTCGCTGAAGGAACATGCACTAATCGTACTGCTTTAATTAAATTCAAACCTGGTGCCTTTTATCCTGGAGTACCAGTGCAGCCTGTTTTATTGAAATATCCCAATAAATATGATACTTTTACCTGGACTTGGGATGGACCTGGCGTGTAAGTAGCAGCAATTAAATGTTAAAAAAATTGAATATAAAGTTTAATTTTTTATTTCATTACTATTTTCAGGTTACGTTTGCTTTGGATGACTATGTCACAGTTCTACAGTCGTTGTGAAATTGAATTTTTGCCTGTATATAATCCAACGGAAGAAGAAAAAAATAATGCCAACTTATATGCTCGGAATGTACGTGAAGTGATGGCAAAGTAAGTTTATAATTCATTATTAATTATTTTGTATAAATGTTAATTTATAATTTTATTTGCTTAGAGCACTTCAAGTACCGACATCAGAATATTCATTTGAAGATGTTATCGTTATGAGTCGTGCCAGAGACATGAAAATACCTTTTCCTGGTGATGTTGTAGAAATTGAACATACGCTGTATAAATTAGGGTAACTATTATTAACAAATAAAAAAAAATTTAACCAAGAAGTTACTTACATTAAACAAAATTTTAATAAAAAAAACATTTTTCAGTTTGCTTGATTGCGATCGCGATGTTGAATTAGCCTGTGAATACCGATCCTTTGGCAATACAGAAAAAATTGATTGTTTGACATTTTCTGAATTATTGCAAGTTGATATTTCAAATCCACATTTCCGCAAACTATTTTCGCTTTTAGATCATGTAAGCTGCATCCTTTTTTACCTTTATTGTTTAATTTTTTTTTTTTAATAATAGAATATGTCTTTTATTTGTATATATCTTTCTTAATTACAGCGACACAGTGGTACAGTCAGTCTCAAGAGCTTCTTACTATGCTCATTCTTTTGCAAAGTCAAAAATGATGAAATTGTAGCATTTTTAGAGACTATTGTGCAGGTATGTCCATAGATTGCAATCTGTTATTATAAATAATGATATTATGTTAATTTTATCGTAGATATATGCCGAATCCAAAGATTGTATAAAACGCGAGGAATTCTGCAAAATTATGAAACATGCGACAAGGATGACAGATGAGAAAGCCAGTGCATTATTTATTGCAATAGATCAATCACATACGGGTTATATTACCTTCGGTAAATATTATTATCATTTCTAAATAAGGTATTTATTTGTACCTTTAGTGATACATCTAAAACAGTTAGTATATAACTGGAGGTTTGGACAGATGAATAATGAAACCGGGTATTGTCATTAGGCAATATACTGAGGGAATGGGTCTATAACAATAAAAACGGTTATGGACCCATGACAGTGACGAAGCTTCAGTTAGTAGATAATTGGAGGTTTGGACACGAAAATAATATAATGATATTCTTTCTTTCCAAAAAATTTTCCTATATTTATATTCTATTTATTTTTTTATTTTTTTTTATTTATTTTTTTTGCTTATTTTTTATTTATTTATTTTGCTTATTTTTTATTTATTTATTTTTTTTATTTTATTTAGTCATTTTTATTTCATAATTTTTTCCTTTCATTTAATTATTTTTTTATTTGTTTATTTTATTTTTTTACTAACTTTTTTTTATTTAATTAATTTATTATTGATATATTTTTATTTTATTTATTTCTTATTTCTTGCTTTTATTCATTTATTGTAATTTTATTAATATTTTGTATTTATTTTTTTTTAATTTTTTTTTGGTTTTTATATTGTTAATTTCCTAATTTTTTTAATTATTTTTAATTTATTTATATTAGTTATTTGCATTACTTATTTATATTATTTATTTATATTATTTATTTATATTATTTATTTTTATTTATTTAATTTAATTTTATTTTTTATTGGTTTCTGTTCTGTTTTATTTATTTTTTTATTTATTTATTTTTATTTTATCACAATTTATTTTTATTTTATTACAATTATTATTTATTTTTTTTTTTACAGCTTTATTTTTTATTTATTTATTCACAGCTTTATTATTTATTTATTTGTTTTTTATTTTTTTTTTTGTTTACTTTATTTTTTATTTATTATTATTTTTTTATTTTATTTATTAAATGTGGTCAGCCAAAAATGCAATTAATTAAAATAATATAAAATGAATTTTTGTTGTTGTTATTAATTTTTTTTAATTATTCATTTTTAAACTGAATAATAATATGTTTTATTTGAATATTAATAATTACGTAATAATTTTTAATGAATGTTTTTTTTAAATATTTTTGTAGAGGACTTCACAAACTATAGCCGTGAACTTCCAAAATACCAATATATATATAAAAAACAAGAGCACATAAGAAGAACGTACAACAATTCAAAAATGAAGATACAATAAAAAATATAGGCAAACAGCCTATATTGTGTAAAACTTAGGCTCTTCTAGTATTGTACACCATGTCACGTCAGCAGCAGAATGAAATAAGAGAGCTGAATACATTAGGAAAACATCTGCATAATAATAATGTAATCTCATGCAAAGTGTTTGGGAGCGAATGCAATTTTTCTTCCAATAAACAATTAACGATGATCTGACGAATTTGAAAGTACATCCATAATAACATAGATGTAAAACAATTTTAATGTAGAAATATGTGCTAAGCTATTTAAAAGTTACTGTCTTGAGGAAGGGATGTAAACAAAGTATTATTTAAATCTTAAACCGAAATGGGCCTTCCCCTAAACAACATATATATATATTTTGTATTTAAAACTATTATTTAGTGAACTGTGTAAGGTTAATGTTAAAAAAAATTAACACAAATTGTAAATTTAACATCTATTTAAACAAAAATCAAGAATGCCTCAGCACACTATAATCTAATACAGATACCCTAAATGACAGTCCAAAATTATTAACCCATTATGTGTACATATTTAAAAATATTTGATTTACATATATACACATACATAGCTTCAAATATGTAATAAATTTTGAAATAAAAAAATTCAATACTTCATTGTTTAGTGGTAAATTTTTATTTAATCCATGAGTTGAATGCCGTTCTATGGAACCTATTTATGTCTATTTTAAAACTGATATTTGTAAATAAATACGGCTGTCTTATATATAAAAAATTTAACGTAGATAAAATATTTTTTAAATAATTTTAATATAATTGAAAAATTTTTAGTAGATTTTCTTTTCATTTTGATAATGAAAAACTTATTTTTAATTATTTATTTTTAAGCCAAAAACAAAGAAATAGAACAATTATATTATTTACATAAATATTAAAATAAAGTTATTTTTTTAAGTTAAACATATATTGACTTTATACAATATAAGTACTTAAATTTAGAGATACTCATTTTAATTAAGTTTTTATTGAATTTTAATTTAATTTGAATTATTAAAATTTTTTATTTTGAGTATATAATTACTCTTAAAAAGATAATGTATTTTTAATAGAAAATTTATTATATTAATGATATTATAGTAATCGTAAGAAAATTATGATATATACATATATATATATATATGATATAAATAATATGAATGTATACATGTTGTGTATATTTTTGACTAAATAAATGATAGTTATATAAATGTATTATAAGTGTAATTTTATCTCGTTAATTATAATTATAAGCCCATAAGCATATATGGGTAAGGTAGGATTAATCTGGTTTGTCCTAAGCCACACATAGACGTCTATGTAGATTTGTGATATATAAGGCTTTTGTATCAAATTTTATTTTAACAATGAGGGTTCCTTGCTCGGGTTTTGTCATTGAAAGGAAAACAGGATTCCTACTTAATTTTCTGTAGAGTCTTCTTGCCTAAAAAACTGTTTCCGGCTTTTAGTTGATGAACAAGAGCAATTTAGAGCGGTTATTTTAAATTATTTGGATTTTGTGATACCACATATACATGCTATATACATATTACAAAAGTAGGCGTTTGAAAACTTAAAAATTTTAACTTGAAAATAAAAAATATAGTTTGATCATTCAAAATTTTTCTGTTCACGTGTTAACAACCATTTTATTTTTGGTAAAAATTTTACAAAATTCCATAGTTTCCAACTTTTTGGCTTTTATCTTAAAATTCTACCAAACAAAATGAAAATTTCTGATAAAGACGTACTGGAATATTTGTCGCAACTTGGAAAGCCAAGTTACTTGGACGATATTAGCGAACATGTCTCCTCAATGTATAATATTCCGCAATACAAGTTTATATCTGAGTTGCTATCGACACTGGAAAGTTGTGAAAGCCGTGGATTGATTTTGAAATATGATCACAAATATTTTCTTCCACGCAATAACAAACGATCACCGGTACATATGGCTGGTATGCATTCAGCAAAGAAATTTGTGTCCTTTAAAGATGATGAGAAGAAAAAACGAAAAGCAACACCATCCAATGTAGTTAGAAGAATTTTTAACAATGTGGAACAACAAAGATCATCTGCGGCCGGTTATCTCTCTGGAAATCCACTGTGCCATAATTGCGGAAGGAAACAACTTAATTTGGATTCTTTCTTTTGAAAGAGTTGTGACTGTTTTGTGCGACCGAGCTTAGTTTATGAATTGGTCTTCCAATGTGGATATGCCTGGATGCTGGTGTGCGTTTTCATGCTATATGATTCTGTTCGCCTGCTGGTTTGAGTCTCCCATCTATGTGGTTCTGTTCGCCTGCTGGTTTAGGTCTCCCATCTATGTGGTTCTGTTCGCCTGCTGGTTTGGGTCTCCCATCTATGTGGTTGTGTCCGCATGCAGCTGTGCTTTTCTTTTGATGTCGTTGTAATTACGAGCTGATGTCTATTTTCTTGTGTCTTTTCCAAAATTGTTGTAAATGTGAAGGAAGTTCATCATGAATATCTTTTGGATGTTATTTTAACCCAAAATATATATTCAAACAGTGCCAGTACTTAGTTAAATGGTAGAATAACGAAAATTGAAATATAATAGAACTTACAACAAATTTTAAATGTTTTACTTATTTTTATTATTACAGTCTCTTTAAATCCCTTACTTCAGTGGAGATGTCTCTAAGTATGCTAAGTTTAATTTCTAAGCTTTTCAGAAATATTGACTGTCATGGTAAGCTCCATTATGTTTTTATGAAGTAATTGCTTATAAAACAAATAAACGAAAGTACTCTAGCACATTAATGGACGCTTATGAAACTTAAGAATATAGAATGTTCAAAAAAACATCGAATTCATTGGTTTTTCTGTGATCTGAAGGAATCTGTAGGATAGTAAACCTTATATAGAAGAGTAATTCATGGGTGGTTTAATGAGTTGTAAGGTAAGAAGAAAATAGGGTATTTGGGAAGGAGAAGCTGTGCAGGATGGAGGGGTTTTGCGGTATTGAAGGGCTGTGTGGGATAGAGAGATTGTGTGAGGGGATGCTAATTAAAAATAAGTAAAAGTACTAGCGCAGGATAGTTTCTATGCCTAATGCAGAATCAAACTACAATTATAGGAATTATAATTCGTTGTTTACAATATATATCGAGATAGGGGATTGAAGAATATGGAGATCTATGATCATTTGAACATTCACGATGAAATATGTGAATCGTTGTTTTCACTATAAATGAAAAGATTGAGGATGGGAAAATATGATTATGATCTATGATTATTTGTTCGGTCATGGTCAAATATAAAATTGTTGTTTTCAATGTAATTAAGAGATTGTGAATGGGAGAATATGGTGATCTATGATCATTTGATCGGTCATTTTCAAATATGAAGTCTTTGTTTTGAATGTAAATTAAGAGACTGAGAATGAAAGAAAGTGAGAAATTTCAGTGACAGTTTGTCACTGCAACAAAATGTTCTGTGCTTTTGCCAGACTGTCTGTATAACATAGACCGATTAACATAAGTGGAAGACCTTATCATTGTTCATACTTTTCACAAGAGAAATACAACCGTTAATAGACCTAAAGTGTCTAAAATTTAAAAGAAAATGTTCTATTCGAATTTAAAAATGTTAAGCTATTAAAAACAAAGCAGAAATTTCTTAAGTCCGAAGAAATTTCATTTATTGGAAACAAGAAATAACAAAATTATTTTGTAAATAATTTAAAATTAATTTTTCTGCCCAACTTTTTGAACACATTTGTTTTTCCTCAAAGCTTTGGCAGCATTGTTCAATTGCGAATATCAGCTGATTTTTTTATATCGAATCCAACACAAACAAAAGCTCCGCTCATGTCATTTGTAAATACAAATTCATTCAAAATTTTGCAAAAGAGTTGGTCTTTTCTAACTAAAACTCCTAAAAACTTTTTATTAAATAAACCGTTAACAACAAATAGACATCTCATGTAAGTGCTAATCTTAATTTTAAAGCACTTACTATTTCTATTTTATAAATAATTTTAGTCGATTTTTGCGTTGTGATTATTCAACGCGAGGTGCAAAAATGAAATTTCTTAATCAAACCGAAGCAATTGCAGTAGATCAGGAGCTTTTCAATGAATATAAATTTAGCGTTGATCAGTTAATGGAATTGGCGGGTTTAAGTTGCGCGCATGCAATAGCAGAATGTTTCCCGGCTGATTGTTATAAACGTGTTTTGATCTGTTGTGGACCGGGCAACAATGGTGGCGATGGTTTAGTTTGTGCTCGTCATTTATCTCTAATGGACTATGTACCCTGTATATACTATCCAAAGCCGACACCAAGAGAATTATACGAAAATCTCACACATCAGTGCAAAAAAATGGATATTGGTTTTCTGGGTTGTTGTCCAACGCTAGAGCAAGCAGAGGCAGATTATGATTTGATAGTGGATGCTTTATTTGGTTTCAGTTTTAAGCCACCAGTGCGTGAGGATTTTGTACCTATTATCAGTGTACTGCAAGATACAAAAATACCAATTGCAAGGTAAGTAAGGTCGTAAGTATATATATATAGAGATATTTATATATAATTCTTAATATTTTTAGTATTGATATACCGAGTGGCTGGCATGTGGAGGATGGAAAGACGGATGATTGTGACTTTGAACCGCACTTATTGATATCACTGACAGCTCCAAAAATTTGTGCTAAACATTTCAAAGGCGAATATCATTACTTAGGTGGACGTTTTGTGCCTAATGCTCTGCAAGAGAAATATGAACTTAATTTACCGAAATATCCAGGAAACGACTTGTGTGTTAAATTATAAAAAATCTGTCTGCTCAAGCATTTTTTGAAAATGGGAAATAAATATGTTTTATATGTAGTATAAGAAAATAATATTGCATATTCCGAGCGATTTAATAATGACTCTGCGCTTACCGCAGACCTGAAAGGTATTTATATTAAGTCTCTTCATAGTTTTTGTTAAGCATGCTAAACTCACACTAAATAGCTAATAAGAAGTTTAAAATTAGTTGCGTTTCAGCAAACAATGACCTCATTAATGAACATGGGAGACAATGACTAAACATGGAACCGGTTCGTATACTGTTTTAATATGGAATAATATGCATAAAATAAAAGTTAAATCAGTAATTAGTGGAAAGTGTCATTACTATGCGACTTTTTCTATATGGCGAAGTTAGAATACAAAACAAGCAACAAATAGAAATGAAGATGAAATTAAAATATTAAGAAACTAATATATTTGCCCAGTAATTTCATTTGCTGTTGTGCTAACCCGAAGGGAATTTCGAATACATATACATGAGTTTTGATAGGTTGTAAGAACAACTAGGTCTATGTTGCGGAACCATTCGTCAACCACGACGACCAACTTTCGTTCATCACACCTCAAAAAAGGTTACAATAATAACAACAAAGTCCAATTTAGAGCGGTCAGATTCACTCGTCAATTTTAATGACCAAGTGCCGTTCACCATTCCATAGCAGAAACTAGACCAGCTGGTGTATGTTGACTTTTATTTGTGAACTCCAAACAATGATCTGGATCATCTTTACTGAAACGATATTACTTTAATATGTTAGTTGACAGGCTATATAAAAGCAAGCGGAGTTCAAGTGAAACGTAAGTTAGTGTCTTGTTCATAAATTGAATTCTCGGTTTAACATGAGCAACTCCATTTTATATTTTCAAAAATTGATACTCTACATTTGCCTGCGTTATGTTGACACATTCAAAATAAGGTAAAGATCAATATATATTCTGTTAAGTGCACATTATTTACAAACATAAAAGCAAATTTTACTAATTCCTTCTACCAACACAGCTGGTATTCATTTTATTTGTATAAACGATTATAATATTTCTTACGGCGATCCTCTTCATATGTATTATTGCGTGCCCATTCTTTCAAATGACCTTTGGAACGTAAAATAGCGGATTTAGAGTCTACATCACGCATAACGAAAGGTGAAAATCCTGCAGTATAATCCTCTTCCAAAGCATTTGTTTTTGTTTTCGCAACACGTGAAGGCATCTGTCTAGGTATTGGCTGATCCTCGAAAAGTATTGGATTTCGTGAGTGTTTACCACCTTGAAAACGTGGTAAACTTTGATTCTTATACTTAGAGGTTAATGGACGTCGTGTATTGATGTGTATCTATAGAATTTAGAGAATATTTTATTACAATATTTTAATTAATTAATTTAACAATTATAACTTACCACTTGTTTGCCATTTTCATCTAAACTCACAGCCACACGCTTCAACGTTTTGTTACCACAATTGGGACAGAATACCTTCGTCATAATGCTTGTAGTCTTAAAACAGGCATAACAACGTAATATATATGTACGCAAATGTTTAATAACGCGTCCATTCAAGGCAGATATATGTAAGTTCATTTGCTTCAAGACATTTTGCAAAGCAAAATCTGTGGACATACAAGCAACTAAAGGAATAATATCGTCTTCAACTTTACCCTCCAGTAATTTTTTAGCTTTTTTAATATTTGCTGGTGTTATCCAACCATCATCGACAAGATCGTCAGATTCAGGTGTAACTTCTTCCTCTGCTTTCTCTTCATCTACACAAATTACTTCTTCGACATCACTTTTCTCTGGCACGAGCAAATCACACATTTGTTCTGTTTCTGTTGGTTCACACTTCAATCTTTCGAAGAGTGTTTCCAACTCTTTTTGTGTGACCTCATCCTGTTCATTGTCGTCCGCATTTGTTGCTAATGTGGATATATTTATTGTTTTTGTGCTTTCACTATTATTGGCATTTGTGTTGTCGCTGTCAATAATCTGTTTTTCAATTTCTTCTTTTAAAGTATCTACATTACTCGATGAATTGTTGTCATTGTTATCACTATCATCACTTTCATCAACATCGCCTTCGTCGCTTTCGTCTTCATTTCCACCATGTTTAGGATTGTACCAACCAACTAATTTTGTATTATCTTGAAACTCTTCTGGCTTGTCTTTTGAAGCTACAGTCTTAGACAATACTGGTTCTTGGCGTAAATGCTCTGTGCCCACATTATCAGCTTCCAGTTCATATGTCAATGCTATAACTTTTATGTCTATGCCTGAGAGTGAGGCATAGTCACCAGTTTTCTTTGCAAATTCAACGCAATACTTCACACTTTCAGTGCGTGGTTCTCGCACTTGCAAATCAAATGGCAGTACACAGAGTCGTCTTATTTGTCGCTTATTACGCACTTCTGCAACTACGTCTGGTACGGTAAGCACATTTTCTGCATATTCCTGTCAAATATTTGTTTCTTTAAGTTTAACTTGGTTGTGTTAACAAACTAGAATACTTACATTTAATTGCACTGCATTAATGAAAGCAGTCGTATCTGCCACCAAATATTTTATTTTGTTTGTAGATTCTGTCATTTCGTTTTCGAATATTTGGGATTTTGAAATGCTTATATTTATTTTGTTTTGCACGTGCTGTTATCAACAAATAATTGACATTTAGTTGATGCTTTCGGAAAACTTGAAATACGTCAAATAGGGTATGTTCAGTATATGCTGCTCAAGAACATTAATAAAATTGAACACATTTTATATAAGAGTTTCTATACATTGCCGCGAAATGTTATTTTCGAAATCGTTAGCGAAAAATCAGGTCTTAAGACGATATTGTTACTGAGATTCACAATTTTCTTTAAATTAATTAATAAATAAATAAATTAATTAATAAAATTAAAAAAAATTTCCACATACTGCCACAAAATGTTATTTTAAAAATTGTTAAAGAAAAATTAGGTTTGAAGGGGATTTTGCTACTGAAATTCACAAACTTATTTAAATTAATCAGTTATCTGATTTTTTATCAAAATGTTCAAGAAAACTGTTAAAAGAAAAATATTTTCGATTTTCTTTCTGTTGCTGTTGTTATTCTACTAAGTAAGGTATCTATGGTGAGCTACGTAATTATAGCACGGCAACAAAACAAATTAGAAAATCATTGTAAACAATATGTAATTATTAAAACCTTTTAAATTTGATATATGGTTATAGGATTTATAGTTATTCATTGTTTCATTATGATAAATAATTCATGTTATGAATATATATTGATATATTTTCACGTACATCAATAGGCTTTTTCTTTTGTAAGTATATAACAAAAGAACAACAGCATATTTTAAAAATAACATATGAAACAACAATACTGCTGGTTTATTTAGTCCAAGCTTTTTGAAATCGCTTAACTAATAAGCAGCTGAAATCGTATGCTTGCCAAAATTCGTCTATTCTGAACGACTTTTGGAAGTACCTACGAAATTTCTATTTAACTGTCAACGAATGATTTCGTTAAATATTCGTATTGCGTTCGTATCGTCGTTATTGGTGGTAACAAATACGTTACTTTTTCTCTTTATTATTTTACTATTAAAACGTATGAAAATTCATATTTTATTCACAGTCATTTAAAAAAATATTCTTACCAATAATTGCAAAGAATTATTATTCATTTTCAAAATTTTAACTTTAAATTTTATTACTTGTTTTGCATATATAAGCCTAACAAAATTTCCATTTTGTCTAGAGTTGCCATTGAAAGTAGTATTTATTTCATTTGTTTTTTTGCAACAAAATAAAAGTCTTAATGATAACATTCAATAATGGCGATGTATCACAATTTATTCAAATTAACTCTCTAACGTGAGATATATTTTCACTGCGATCCAACATATCAATTTATATTAAACAAAAGATTATTTAATTCTTAATTTAATAATTAACTAACAATAGTTAGGCGTGTGTAATATTGTACTATAAATACAAGTACTATGAAACTACGAAGAGTACTATGATTTATACTGTACTTCGGTATATGATACACATGGGTTTTTCTTAAATTTTTTATTATTATAGTAGGAAAATACTATGAACGTTTAGACTTTACGATTATTTAAAATACCTGGCTAATATTAAATTATTTGAAAATATTTTCGATTTATTATTTTTATATGATCGTATTTAACGTATTTTTGCAATTAATTCTATAAAATATGTAGCACTTAATGGAATTTTTCATACAAATCTATAAAAAAATGAACGAAATATTAAGTAAAATTAAAGAAGACTGCATTGTATTAAGTTTTCATATTGGATCATATTGTTAATTTGAAGCAAAAATAAATAAATTAATATATATATAGGTTTTATGGTATTTAATTCTATTTTATTATTACGTTGAGGCTAGTTGAGTTAGTGCACTTGATCACTTTTACTCTCTATTAACTACGAGGCTTCTTCATAACCCCTCTCTACGCATTGACTGGATAATTGTTTATCACTTCATTAGACTAAGCAGTAATTGACTTCAGATCTGCATACCTCCCCGAGAAGCCTGCAACCATTCTGAGATTCGATAACGCGGTTTCATTTATATTTAATTCTTTTATAATAAATTAAATTTATTAATTTGATTTATATCATTATATATATTGCGATATATGGTATTCTTTTTCATTTTTTGATTTGCTTTAAGCAAATTTCATAACCATTTATGTCAAAGAAAACCACTGATTAATATCATAACACATATTCAATACAAACTTCTTTAATTTTATAAAAATAATTTCAGGGTGTTAAGTCTTTAACTGTGTTCTGTATTTTTTTTAAAAACTCACTGCTAAATATACGATGAATAAAATTTGACAAAAGTGTATACTTTTTAACAGATAAACTCATTATTTACAGTTGAGGAATAATAAAATTAAATTGTTAGCAAATTTTTGTGTACACTTCAGTTTGCACAGTTGAGTAATAGACCCTTAGTATTTATTAATTTACCTGTAATCTAATTTTAATTGATTATCAAATTATTTAATTTCATTCTTATATTATCAGCTCAATTATGTGTCTTTCAGTTCAAATTAAAATATTTAAAACTTCAGTAATAAACTAAAATCATTTTAATTTAATTATAAATTACAAGAAATGAATTTACAAGAAATTTAATTTAATTATCAACATTAATTAGGTATTTGCAAAAATGTCATCACAAAAGTAAACATTGATTTTGGTATTTTGAATTTAAATTTCAATATAAAAAAATGTTAGCTTGGCAACTCTACTTCATCCAAATAAACTGACATATAAAATAAAAGCAGTTTCCAATACTAAGCACATTCGAAAAGTTTTCTTGGCTTGAAGTGTTGACCGGTTTTTTTAACAGGTAAAACTAACATTTATTAGGTGTAAGTAATAGTAATTAAGTATTGCAAAAAGTTAACTTTTAATTAAAACAAAAATTTTAATAAAAATGTTAGAAATTTCTAACTCTTATATTGGTATTTTAATTAAATAGCACTTAAGTAGTTTTTAATTTTGCACATAATTTTTTGCATATTAAATTATTAAGAACTCATTGAATATTATTTATTATTCAATAATTGAATATTATTATTTATTAAATATTTTTTTTAAGATTTATGCAATTTCATTTTAAAAGTTATTAAATAGACATTTTGCAATGTTAAATTTAAATATTTTTCTCTAAAACTTTATTGTTTATATAATTTTTTATATATTCAAAAATAATTACTATATTAGCACTTATTTTAATTATAATTAATAAAATTCTTAAAAAATCAAAATTTTTAAATAGAATTTTCGAAAATTGCAAAAGAAAGTTCGAGATTAAAATCGAAAAATAATAAATCAAACGTCAAATTTGTAAAAAAAGTTTCATTTGAAAAATGCGAACTGAGAAAACAAAAGAGATTTTTTTTATTAATTTTATGATCAAGCTAATATAAATATTTCATATAATATATAATTTTTCAGTACATTCTATATTTCTACTAAAAAGTTTCTGAACAATTTTGAAAATGGACAAACAAGTAGAAAGTGATTATTCTTCAAACACTGATGCAGGCCCAAATCAGGATCTTGAATATAAAAGTGACGATGAAAACGCGCAATTCTTTTCTGTGGATAAATATGGTGATTCCGTATATAATGGTTTGCCAATGTCAATGGTTGATCGTGTTAGTGCTGCTTGTGAAGATTCAACTGAAAATCCGCAATCATCCACTACAAATTCCGAAAGCGTTGAATATCTGAAATGTGCGGCTTGTTGGTATGTACAATATTTATTAGAGTATATAATATAATAAAAAAAGTCTATATATATGGTATAGTACATATTATTATATAGTGTAGAATATAGTATTAGTATAGTATAGTAAGGTATATGGTATCATATAGTATATAATATGGTATAGTTAAGAACATAGTGTTATATGTATATACTATATGTAGTATGCAGTAATATAGTATATAGTATAGTATATACTATAATTAATTATAGTATACAGTATATTATTATATTATATACTATATAATATAGTATAGTAAAGTATACTGTATCATATAGTATATAATATAGTACATAATATAGTATATAATACAGTATAAGTATGGTATATTAAAGTAATAAGTATCATATAGTATATAATGTAGTATATAGCATAGTACACAGTATATTATAGTTTATAGTATGATATAGTATATGTAGTAATATACACAATTTACATGATATCATACAGTATATAGTATAGTTTATAGCACATATAGTATAATAATATATAGTTAAATATGTATTATAATTTCTATACTGTAAAGTACAATATCTATAGAAGGTTAGATGAGATTAAACTGGTTGCTCGAAAACCGTTACACATATACACATTGGTCCTAACCGATATCAGATACAAGTAGCCCTCATTTAGGATGATATTTTTTTCTGCCATTTTAAGTTTTTTCTTTCGAACATCAAGCATTTTTTAAAAATCTTGAAAATTTTGTTTTTTGATCAGAACGTAGTGGAATTTGTACTCAGAACATTAACATCATGTTCTAGAAATATTTATATATAACATATTGTTATATATGTTATGTATTACAATAAATATAAGAGAATATGGTACAATATATATAAATACGTAGTACAATATCATATAAAATAATATATGATAAAATATATAATAAAGTAATAAAAATATATACTTGTATGTAATACATTATGTAGCACAATATATAGTAAAAAATGTATTACAATATATATTATAACATACATAATACATTAACATTGTCTACTGTATACAATCATTGGTTCCTTAACTAGATGTAGTTCTATTCACTTCACTTTTTTAAAGAACATTGACAGATTTGTTGTACTATCCTCGTTGAAAGTTTTCTAAGCCAATGTTCACACAGTAATGTCTTTATAAATCTAATAACATCTTAAGATTTTATACCTTATTCCGCCTAATTAAAGGTAAAGGTTTGTCAGTATTCGAATATAAATAAACCTAACCACAAATCAAACCATTGACTGTGCAATAACTGCACCGACGTTGAAGTTTGGATAAACCGGTTTTTAAACCAAACTAATGGTTAAATGTATTGTAGCTCTGAATCAAGTCTTTTGACTTTGAAGCCCGGATATCCATATTGACAGACTATGCTAGTCACATAGCATAGTCAAATATGTTGTCAAATGTGCCCAGTAATTTGTAATTGTCACAAAAGTTGCAATAATTAATACGTATATATATTAGGGCTGTGCCGAATCGGTTTTAAATAAGTTTCGTCGACTTTGTAATGGGTGGTATAACATATAGGACAAAATATAGTATAATTAGTGGTGCTGAATGGGAAACTGAAAGAAGCAATATTATTCATAAGATGTTAATAACCTTCTTCCTTTTATTATCATATATTTTATTGACATTCTATAGACGTCACTTAATATTATTAATATAATATATATATAGTAAAATTATTGCTATTTTATTTTTTCTTTATATTTTTAATTATAGTAAACCAATGCGTAATCCACGTTATTTATCCTGTTTACATCCTTTTTGTGAAGACTGCATTCAGCTCGTACCGTTTGAACAAACTGTGTCAATGGGTGAAAATAAAAATTCTGTAAAGTCTGTCTATCATATACACTGCAAAGTCTGTAAACAGATCACAAAGGTAATGTGTCGAAGCAGGAGTAAATAATCAAAGATCGCTTAGAAATTTTATTTTACCTTTAGGTTGGTGATGAGGGTGTTAACGAACTCGTTAGTGGTAATGGCTTTAAGACCTTAATGGCTACGTCCAAATTGGGTACATGTTATGTTTGTGCTAAATTGCTAGATCTTGTTGCCTATTGCAATGAATGTCGTGCTGATCTGTGCTCCACATGTGACAATGCTCATAAACTTCTGTACTGCTATGAAAATCATACAACTGTTAAATTTGCCGATAGGAAGAAAGAGAAAATCGATGAACTTCTTTGCTGCGCTCGTCATCCAGATTGTAAATTGTGTTTCTATTGTTATGATTGTGAAATTCCTATTTGCAAGGAATGCTTTCGTGAATCGCATAAAGGTGCGAAACATAATTGCGATATTATTGCTTTTGCTCAAAAAAGAGAACGTAATGATATTGAACTCCTGATGAATAAGGCCACCTCAAAGGTTTGTATATATATTTTCTAATAATTTTTAAAATTTTTATTTGAAGAGACTACTGTTTGTGCTTTCAGTCAAATAATTATGTGGAATTCGCGAATATATCAAATGCTGTGTCGGAGATGGAACAATCTGGTCAACGTGCTTGTGATAAAATTGTCGACACTTATAGAACTATGGAGCATATACTTGCGAAATTTCGAGATATCGCATTAAAGAACTTGGATGAAAATTTTCAACTACAAAAGGATGAACTTATTCTCACAGCAGCCAAGGTTGAAAATGAAAACGATGAGGATGGCAGTAAGAAGAAAATACCGACGAATATTAAAAATGAAATTATGCAAAACAAATCTACACCAATTCTTAACACAAACGTTGAAGCATATTTTAATAAGATTGCTGACTGCTTTGGTAAAGTAAAGGTTACAGAAACAGTAGCTGGTTCCAAAACTAATAGCCCTATAAGTCCTCAAAGAACTAGCAGTCCTTTGCCGGATACAATGCGTGGTGGATTTGAGGGGAGTCTCTCTTCTGTAGAAAATAGTTTCACTTTACCAAATGATTTGACACAATCGTCCGTAATGTCCACAAATAAAGATAATACCAACAAAAGCGGCAGCAGTGAGGACGAACTGGAAGTTAAAGACATGTATAAAAAAATAGCTAACAATTCGTCCTTAAATGTCAATGCCCCTATTTTTTGTATGAGAGATAGTAGCGCATCTTCAGATACGTTTATAATGCCTCTAAAATTTGGTGCAAAGAATTCGTTTTTTAATCACTCAAAAAATAATTGGCAGTTAGCAAAATTAGATGGAGGTAGGTAAAATTTTGTCTATAACTTCATTATTACATTAAATATGAAATCAATAGATATGCTACTAACTTCTCAATATGGCAAACGTTTGAAAAAAGTGATGTATACTGCATCTGATGTTAAACCGTTGAATGTTCGATTTATGTTCGGTGTACACGGTTTTAACAAATTGCAGTTTAACATTCCACATGGATTCTGTTTAAGCAAAGATGATGACATCGTTGTGGCTGATACAAATAATCATCGCATTGTTGTCTATGATAAACATGCAAATTTCAAGTTTCAATTTGGTGTGCCTGGTAAAGAGGAAGGTCAATTATGGTTTCCACGTAAGGTCACAACTTTGCCCACAAACAAGAAGTTTGTAGTCTGCGATCGTGGAAGTGAACGTTCCCGCATGCAAATATTTTCCAGAACTGGACATTTCCTACGCAAAGTTTCAATACGGTAAGTATTTCAAATATATATCATAAAAATCTTATTTGTTTAGACGTGTATTTCCCTCACGTCACTCGTATGTATTCTTTGTACAAAGTAAGCGGAATCCGGAACCATTGTCTGTGCAGTATCTGAACCGAAGTTTTAGCTTGAATAAACCTGTTTTTTAATCAAACTAATGGTTAAATATATTACACCAATAAACCAAAAGTCTTTATAAATAAGTCTTTTTAACTTTAAAGCTCGATATCTATATTGGCATATAGCCTTGTTAAATATCATAGTCAAGTCTGTTGTCAAATGTGCCAGGTAATTTGGAATTGCCCCAAAAGTTATAAAAGTTAATAAATATTTGGGTTGTGCCCAATTTGTCTTAAAATGGACTCGTCGTCTTTTGAGTATAATTTAACCAAAACAAAAACCGAATCAATCGAAGATATATGTTTAGATTTTTTGTATCGGTCGGGTGGACATATCCCAAAAATGCCAATATTATGGCTTGTAATGGCACATATTTTCCTAATACCAAATGGTATAGCCTTAACAAGATCTTTTGGTGCAATATGTGTTGCATACATATACATAAACTATCAGCACTCTATCTAAGATGGACTAGATTACCCCTCATGTTAACAATACAGATAAGAATTCCAAAACTAAGATCTATTAAATAAATCTATACACTGGACTTGTTCTAGTCTAAAATCACCCGACTAATACAAAACATCTATTCCAAATCACAAACCGAACTTATCGAAGATATATGTTAAATAAAATACTTCCAATCAAATTAACAGTATTGAAACAATGAACTAAAGCATTCCAAAAATTTAGCTGATTTATTTACCCCCGATATATTTATATTAAATATCCAATATCCAATATATATATTTTTTTATATATTAAATATTAACATATTTCCATATTTTATAATTTACAGATATATAGATATTGTTGCTGGTTTGGCTATAACATCTAAAGGACATATAGTCGCTATAGATAGTGTTTCACCTACAGTATTTATTATATCAGAAGAAGGTGATTTGCTCCATTGGTTTGATTGTACCGAATATATGTGTGAACCATCTGATGTGGCTACTAGAAGTAAATTGAGAATCATTTTCATTAATCTGATTATTATATTTCAATAAAATTTATTTAATAGATATGGAGATTTACATATCGGATTTTAAGGGTCATAGTGTTTCGATTTTTAATGAAGATGGCAGATTCTTGTATCGTATTGGTGGTCCAGATATTACATGCTTTCCAAATGGAATTGACATATCTGCACAGGGTTGTATTTTGGTCGGAGACTCGCATGGAAATCGTTTTCATGTTAATTGCTTTTCTCGAGAAGGAGAACAATTGGCTAAATATGAATGTCCTTTAATTAAGGTATGCATTATTTTATTAATTTATAATTGATAATTTTTTAATAATATAATAATTTTAATATATCTCTATACTTTTTCTTTGTGCTCAAAACTTCAGTTTCTGAAGATTTGTCACTGTCACGGCCGCATAATCATATCGTGGTTACAAGGCCATGCCCTCAGTATATTGTTCAATGACAATACCTGGACAACAGTGGTGGTAGCACCGTAGATATACTTGTAGTAGTTTGGATAATACAACCATTTGTTTAGAGCTTCTAAAGTATTTTTGTGTGCATCATCATAAGCATATAATATCCTCTAATATGGTATAACCTGATATTATGGTATGACTAGGTTAGATTTGATTTGGCAGTACGCTGATCCTTGGGTTTCACATAATCCATTTATTATTACAATACAATGGATTTAACTCTTTGAGCTTGTTATCACATTAGACTCCTTAATCCATTAAGCTCGTTAACTTATTGGGCTAGGTTATCCATTGAGCTTGCTAACTTGTTGGGCACGTTAATCCATTGTACTCGTTAATCCACTGGGCTCCTTAACCAATTGGGTTCGTTAATCCATTGGGGTCATAAACCAATTGAACTCGTTAATGTTGTTGATTATTGTCTACACAGTCGCTGTCTGAGCAATCGAAAAAATGAGAAGTCGAAACAAGTACAATCGGAATATGAGAAATCGAAACGAGTGTTAACTTTTTATTGCTTTTAATAAAATTAGTGTGGAATTTTTGAAATATCTTTCTACTTCTAGGGCTGTTGACTTCCTTGTGATAAAATTAACCAAAAAGACTGTAGACGATAAGGTTTCTGATGTCACGATGTAAATTCTTATAAAGCTTACTATTCTGGGTCCTCTTTATGTTATCGTTATCATTCTTAGTATCCCAATTTACTTTTATTTCTTTCCAATCTTCTGTAGTTAAAAAGTAAGTAGCAATATTATTATTGAAGTTTGGAGTAGAAGATATCTGAAGATAGACTACTAAGACTAGAAATAGTGGAATGTAGTTGACTAAAACTATAGGCTAGAAGCATTTTAGGATCCTTCAAGAGTGACTATGATTTTTGTTCCTTTGTTAACACTGATCTGTATAGTCTCTCCATATAATTTTATTTATTATTTTAATTTAAATAATTTTTTATAATGTACTTATTTAATATTTAGTCTCAATAGATATTGTTTTATTCATATATAGTGTTTATTTACTGATTTTATTATTTAATAAAATGATGAATTTATTTTTGAATTTGAATAAAGGTTTCACGTTGTTGTGGCTTAAAGTTAACTTCGGAGGGCTACGTGGTAACATTAGCCAAAAATAATAACACCGTCCTATTGTTTGCTTTGCAGAAGTGAAAAAATAACAAAGCTTTCTTCTCAAATTAATCAAGAAGTAATCAAGTTTCAACATTTCAAGTAATTTCAAGTTCAAGAAAATCAAGAATTCTAACAATTTTTTTTTTACTATTCTTTTCATATTGTTCAGTTTTGCTACTTAAAATTTTTTTTAATAATTTTTAATTCACAGTTCACATATTTCAAATTAATTACTAATTTTTATTTTATTTAAAAAATGGAATTGTCATCAATTAATTATAAAAATAAAAACTAATAAAACACATTTACATTATGTATTATTTAGTTGATTTGTGAACACATTCTCCAGCGATCCATGTCGACAATACATGTAAATCATCATCCATTAGAATAAAATCAGCATCAGAGCCAAAGTCCAGTGTACCTTTTATATGCTCAATTTTAAGACACTTAGCAGGATGTAAAGTGGCCGTCTCAATAGCATAAACCGTTGAGCAACCTAGAGAAGTTAATAAAAAAAGATGCATCACATTTTCTTTAGATGGATGAAGGATGAATACATAAAGAATAATTTTTGTTACTAAGCAAAATTTTTGATACTAAGCAATAAAAGGCTGGAGTCTTAGCCTTACTATTTAATTCATCATATCTTTCAGTGATAGCAACATATAAGGAATTAGCTGCCTAAATGTACGAGTATAAGGTGAGTTGTGTGATGTTATTCTTTAAGAATAACATGAAGAATACCAAAGATTTGTAATCATATGTGTGATTAATGACTGCAATTTTTTTTTCAGGTCTGTTTTTTTGAACTTATTCTATAAAAAAAGAAAGCAATATTCCATCTAATATAACAATTGGCAGCTCTGTCTGCAATGTTGATTGCATCACTTTTTAGGTCTAGAAATCACACGCAGTTATTTTTATTATTAAGACTTTTTTCATGAAATATCCTAATAGTAGGTACTGCGGTCAGAAGAGTCCTATTGTACCAAAAAGCTTTCTGAACAAAGTCCAGAACCAAATCGAGAGAACAGCTGTGAAGCTGTTTTGGTGACAGAAATTTGCATATGGAATAAGTTTCTTCTGTACATTGTTAAAGCTGGACAATCACAAAGAATATGCATAGTTGTTTCCTCATCTTCGAGGCATAATCTGCATTTTAAATTAGTAGATAATACGAAGTGATATTTCAGATCCTAATGACCTGTAATGAAACCCCTTAGCCACCTTAAATCACCTTTTGAGAGTTTAAGAATGTTTTTGTAGGAGTACGGTTTTATCAGTGTTTTGCTAAGTCCTGGAGAATCTTCCCAGTACACCAGCAGCAAACGATTCTCCCTGTCCGTGATTATTTGTTTTGTACTATAACAAATAATATATATATCATATAAATAATATTATATGACGACTATATTGCAAAAAATATTCCATTCTTTTATTAACATGATTATATTATAATTATAATGAAAACTGTATTATGGCAATATAAATTAAATAAAAAATCTTAATAAAAAAAATGTTGGGATGAAAGTACATTCACTTTCTGCTTCAGGACTAAAAAGGTATTAATAAATTTTATTCATCCCATTTCATAAATTGTACTACTTTAAATATCAGATAAGTATAAATATATCAGATTGTCAGTATCAATTAAACAATAATTAATTATATTAAATACTAACCTGTTACTTTTTTAAATATTCGCACACATTCATCCATTGGTGCAATGCTGCCACATAATGTGTTAGTATTAGCAATAAATGCTTTTCCATCTCTTACTTCTAACTCAAGTTCGCCAATATGATGTATACCTTCTTCAAGACCCAAAGCTGATATAGCATCTGTCACCAATATTAAACCATCAGGATGAGTGCGATGTGCAATACGTAAGGCGGCTGGATGCGTATGTACACCATCAGATATAATACCAAAATAAATAACTTGTTCGGAAGGTAGACCGTCTGAAGCCAGCAGACCAACTAAGCCAGGGTCACGATGATGAAACTGTAAGGAAAATATATTACAATTTTCTATATACAGAAAAAATTTTGTTTAATAATAAATAAAAAAATTATTATTAAGAAATCTTACTGGCAGCATAGCATTAAAAAGATGTGTTATTAATGTAGCACCATTTTGTGCAGCTTTCTCGCCATCCGATAGATTTGCCATGGAGTGACCCAAAGCTACCGTAATTCCACGATTTGTAAGCGCACGTGTTACCTCACCTGTTGCATCTATTTCTGGTGCTAATGTAATGATCTTAACATTATTGAAAGAACCATAAGCTTCGAGTATACTGTCAATGCCCTATTATTGGAATAAGTAAGTGGGTTTTATATATATATGTTACACGAGTACATAAAATAGTTTTATGGTATTTACCTTTTCTAGATTTTTAATACATTGTTCTGGATGTGCACCTTTCTTTTTGGGGTTAATGAAAGGTCCTTCCAAATGCATACCTAAAATACCAGCTCCTTCAGTTTTATTCGGAATTTTTGGCAGTATTTTTTTATAGTGTTCTACTGGTGATGTGACTAATGTTGGACAGAAGGAAGTAACACCATTGGTAATAAGACCTCGAGCTACTTTATTAATCCCTTCCTCTACAGTTTCCACATCATGAGAAAAATCAACACCGTAACCACCTTTGGTAAGTGTAGAAGATTTTTAATTTTTTTTGAAATAAATTTATTAAATACAGTATCCAAAAAGTCTATTTAACAATAAGTTGACAATAAATAACTGCTTAGTTTAATAAATAACAATTCAAAATTTTTAATTGAAATGAGAACTTGAACTTGCTAAGCTTCGACACCTAGCTTCCTACCGACGTTATTATAAGGATTGTTATAAGGAAGAAGATTTGCACAGCATTTAAAAAAATTTTGATATATGGTGGTTTAGGAAGTAATTGGTGCAATGTGACCTATAAAATCTTTAGTCTAGACTATTCCTGGAAAGAGTCTTCTAAACTAACTCAGATAAAGCCCCTGTTATTAAATAACCCAACAATATCTTGTTTAAGATTCCGGACATCATCTGGTTCATTAAAGTCCATAAATGGGTTCTAAACTTGTTTCATTGTTGTTGCAGAATATGGGGGGATAAAGGACAAAGAAGTATCGTTTTTTTATTTTACAGAACCTATAGGTGTTGTTGTCTTTCAGTCCAACCTTTGAGATTGGGAGGTAACAAATATATGTTTCGTTAAGAAACCAATGATTAGTCTGAATTTAGTTCTATTTAGACCGTGAAATTTGTTGCTGATAAATAATGAGCCGCTACTTTGCTCTTGATAATCACGCGCTATCACCGTTTTAATTATTATAGTTCAACTGTGATAGCCGATAAATCTAATGTGTTGTATTAAAAAAGCCTGATAAATGATTATTAGGGTTTTAGGTCTTATGGATGGAGTTAAGCTTCCTGTTTTCGCAAGATATTTCGTTACTATCGAATCTCTTATGGACGGATTTTATTTCACAACTATCAATGGCATGCATCTTTCTTCGAAAAACTGTGGGAAAATTTTCACTTGGAACGGCTAATGGTACATCAACGGCACTTTTCCATTGAATCTGGGTCTGTGAATGACTTGAAAGCTGTAATTTCAAGTTTTGGTTTATTGATGAATCAAACACACTCATTGGTCGGCTAATAAAAGTCGCCTGAAAAATTGGGGAAGTTGTGTATTGCAACGGCTACATTGGATCCAAGGAACACATTTTTTACCTTTTAGGTTTTGATTTATCGGTGAACTGAAACCCTTTAAGGCATTATATGTTACAGCTTTCAATGGCATGCGCCTTTGTTCGAAGAAAAGTTTTCCATTGCAATCGTTAATGGTCCATCAACATCAGTTTTCCATTGAATCTGGATCTATGGAAGACTTTTTCAGCCTTAAAGTTTTGGTCTATTGGTAAACCAAACATACGCTGTTTAAAGTCACTTGAATAATTAGGGTAGTGGTCTATTGCAACGGCTTAGTTGAATATGGATTCAAGTACCACTTTTTCAGCTTTTAGGTTTTGATTTATCGGTGAAGCAAGAACATAAATTGGTTCAGTAAATAATTTACAGAACATATAAATCGAATAGCGTTTATGAGAGATTAAGTTATCACGTCGCCTTTAAAAAACCACTTAGGTCTGTTGAAACAATGTGTTGACGCAGAAGAGTGTATATAATTATAATATATGTATATTGTTTTTATTAAGTATAAAAAGTACGTTGTATTTAGACATAAAGTAGTAAATAATAATAATGTTAAAGATAAGTGCCTATAATAAAGAAATTAGAAAATGAATGTTAAGAAAGTTCAATGAACACATAACTCATACATCCAACGTTTACGTTAGATTGACCTACTTATGGATTTATATAAAATATGTTGCGTTTCAAAACAAAAACAAAAATTATCTACGATTATATACTATATAGTACATACTATTTGAGTCAAGTTGAATTACATATTGATAAGATAATCTCTGTTTGCAAAAATTCTTGTTTTTAAATAAAGATACCCGTGTTAAATAAACGAAGTCTGGTCACTCAAGCACTTGTGCTTTAAGTGTTTTGACACTTTTGCTCCACATTTTTGCAAATGAAAACAACTTCACAGATACAAAATGTAAAGAATATGAACGCGTGTAATGCAGCGTTTTTCATTTCGCTTGTTTACCGTTTATTTGGAGGTCAATGTACCCGGCTGCTATAATCGCATCCCCGCAATCAATTTGCTTCACTGCCTCCACTTTCTCGTCGAAAAACACCGGCTCCGGATTTATGATTTTGCCATTGCGTATCCACAAATCGTCGCGAATCAATTGGTGGTCGCGAATTAGTCGACAATTTCTAAATTGTATTAAACCCGCGTTTGCCATGTGTACGAATATTTCAAAATTTTAATTAAATTCAATTATAAATAATCAAAAAACTAATTGAGGCTCGTCAAAAAAAAAAAAGATTAATTGAAAATAAACAAAAATACCGAAAACGACTAACTTCCACTTTGAATAACAAAACTAAACTGAGCGAGCTGTCATTGGAGAACAGCTGCTTTGCTCAAAAGTATCTCACGGATGCAAAATGTGTTTGTGGTTGAAGATACTTTATAAAAAAATGTTGTGTTTTGGTTTTACTGCGATTATTTCGCTCCAATGTGTGGTTTTAGCTTAGTTCAACAGCCAATTGGTGTGAAGCCAACATGTTGTAAGTGGTTTCTTGTTTTTTTTTTTGTTTTTTCTTGATAAAAGACGAAATATAATACTAGTATCTGTAGGGTTATACTATTTGAAATATTTATGATAAATATATCCTACATTATTTATATATTTATAAATTAACCTCACAAAACATTTTTGTGAATTTAGATACAATATTAAATCTAACAAAAAATATTTATAAATATTAATAAATATTTTTTTAAATACATATTTTATTTCCGGCCTGTTAAAGGTGGTTGGTTGGTTGGTTGCAGTGGCAGGCCATTAGATAACTTCCATGTACCACAATTAGCGATTTTTCGACGTTTTGCTACCACATTCCTTGCAAGAAACCTACTATAGAAGAGTAAATAATTTAATAGGTCTATTGTCTTCACCGATGAACAATCTGATAAACTAACAAAGAAATATCTTCCTAAGAACTTATATCTTCTGAACGCCAAAGCCGGGCATTTACAGAGAAAATGTATTAGAAAATGTTAAATTTGATCTGTACACCTTTTTTAAATTAAACGATTAATATTTTTTTAAATTCTATAATTTGACACTCCTTGAAAGTCATCATCAGGACAAGGAATAATTGGAACCGGGTTTGTATCTCAGACTTCTTTCACTATATTACAAACTGAATAAACCTGTTAATATACCATTCTGTGCATTAGAATTCAGCACTATATTTACCTAGGCACAGGAACAATTTAAAATCCTATACTTTTCAAAAAATAATACTTTAAAAAACAGTCCTCTATATGTCAGATCAAAAATTTTCAGTTCATTTATTAAACTATTGGAATTTATTTTGTCCAATTGTTTAATAGAATAAAAATGTTATTATTAATTAAAACAAAATTATAAAGAAGTACATAATATATTCCATTCTAGGGTGCTACTATGATTATTTTTCCTTCTGTTACATCTGATCTATCTTGATAATGCTTATCTCATATACAGAGTATGTTATTGTGAATGTTCTATTGAGCTTCATTAGCTATTTCCATTTTCATTTTAGGAACCTGTTTAAATATGATAATTATTTCTTTTATATCTGAATTCTGCTAACAATGCATATCTCATACTATATCCTATGTATGAGTATTATATTAGTATAATATTTGTATTATAAGTATAATGTTATAGTGAATATATGATCCAGGTTTTTCAAGAAATTCATATCTTCCATTTGAAAGATTTAATTATATGATTATTTCTGTTTCCATCTACCTGATTTTTCTGGAATATTATAGTGAATAATCATAAATCTTTTTTCATAAGTGTATATATTCTATTTCAAGGATTTCTTAAATGATGGTTGTTATTCATTTCTTACATCTAAACTCTTTTAATGCTATTATTATTATTTAAGTAATAGGCTATTAAAGCACCCCGACCTAAAAGATCTATTCTGCGCCTAAAGGCTCAACTAGGACAATTTTAGACTATTTATAAATCTTGTAATTGCCTATTTGATTTGGGTCTAAGATCCCGGTTCCAAGTTAGTCGAGTATATGTCTTGCCACCGCTGGGCAGTTGCATAGAACATGTTCTGATGTTTCCTTCTCCTCATGACAGAGTCGATAGGAGTCACTTTCTACCACACCTATAATCTTCATGTGGTAATTAAGTCTACAGTGTCCTGTAAGAAGTTCAGTGTAGATTTTAATATCGTTTCTGCTAAGGCCAAGGATAGCATCAACTTTGATGTGATCAGGATCAATGAATGTTTTTGACTGTGCGTGCCTGTTTGGGCTCTCCAGTGTTCAAGTAGATGTTGTTTCTCCCGTTCACATCAGGACCAATGAAAGGAGTACATGCACCCTTCTTTCTAATGCTTCTTTTATAAATTTAGATATCCCGTTTTAAGCACCGATGATTAATTCTCTTTTCTCATTTAATTCTCATTGTCATATCTGTATACTTCTGATATCGTATCGCAATTCTTCTGGTATATTACAACACATATATGATGTCTTTTTAATGAATTTAATATCTTCTACTTTAAGGTACTGTTTGAAATGCGATGGTTATTGATCTTTTCCTTACATCTGCTTTCTTTCGATAATGCATATCTTATACATTTTTTATGAACTTCATATAACTTATTTTAAGAACCTGTTTAAAATAAGATGATTATTTTTCATTTGTTTATATCTGAATTTTTCTGACATGGTATCTTAATTCTTCTGGTATATTATAATAAATATATGATAGTCATTTCTTCACGAATTTCATATTATTACTTTTAAGGGATAAGAAGTCTTTTATGTATCCCATCTAAGGACTTAAAATTAAATTCTTCTGAAAACTTAAACAGAATTCTTTTGGTATATTATAGTTTATATATAATAAATTAATAAAATTTAAAATAAAATAATTTTCGTCCTAACCACAAATCGTGAATGCTAGTTCAGTTTACACACCAAATATCTTCCATCCTCCAGCCTTTAGCTTCCAAAGTCAATAGCATCGCAAACAAAACAGTTGCTGTAATGAATTCGTTCGTATGCATTTAACATTTTAATGAAAATTCTTAATTACACTTGATTAACATGAAAAAGATAATCTATCCGAAAGCGAGGTATGAACTCAAAGAAGACATAGCGCCGCCGCCGTAATGGAAGGAAAGGATACACTTCAACATTGAGTACATTTACTGGTAATTAAGTGTGTCTAGTGTTTCTGTCATTCTTTACTCCTCTGCGCAGTTTAGTATTTTCGTTGGCGTACTTCTACGAATAGTAATATCAACCTTCACTAGGTGTTCCTCTGCTATTACTTTTCACATACACTTTTTATCCGTGTCGTGCTGTTCGCAGCTAAATAAAGTTATTTCAAGCTTTGCATCTTAGGAGAATATCTTTTTTTTTCGTATCTTCTTTTTCAGGCGCAACAGTGGAAAAAACGTGACCGAAATTCCAAAGTTTTCATTTTGCTACCAAAGCTGATTTTTAAGAATCCACCGTCTGCCGTCTACCGTCACTCGTCTACATAATTTTACTTTGAAACATAAGCGTAGTACATAAGCGTATATAAAATTTATTAAAGATAAAAGTATTTTAAGAGCAGCTACCCAGAAATTTATCATAAAGTATCTTTTGCTTAAGCTTGTACTCGTATATCGAGGCGAGACCGTGCCACACGGCACATAGCACTCCATGCGTGCAACTGCACAAAATATGAATAGTTCCAAAGATGCCAAATTACAAGAATCCTAAGTGCGGTGCGGTGCGGTTGAAAGGGAGCTTTATGCTTGGTGTCAGGTATGTGTTCATGTGTATGAGAAGATACTTTTGAGTGTGCATTTCGGGTGAATTAAAATTTTTAATTACATCAAATGCAACCATCTTTTGGCAGTGTGCGTACTCGTATTTGTTAAACACACACTTACTTTGTGGCTAATGAAGAAAATTAATATTCAAAGGTATTTTCTCAAAAGTAAAATTCTGCAGCAGAGCATAGAAGTTTACCTGCAGATTGCTTTAGGTTATTTGTGAAGTCTAAAATTAAATTTATTATTTTCCTGCAAACCAAACTTAATTACTGTGCTTTCGAAATTTCTATTTACTATCTGCAATATTAGTACGAGATCGCAGTATTTAACACACTTAAGCTTTTTACAGAAAATTAACTTTAATTTAGATACAAATTCCTGAAGAGAATGATATTAGGTGGATCTGCAAAAAAAAATATTTTATTTAACATTTAATTTAAAGTCCTTTTATTTTTTAATGAAATCATATTTTTTGCAAACCTGTTTCAGTTATTCGGTATGGGTATACGCGGGTATGGGTCGGATGTTTTGGTATTTAATTGTTACATGTGTTAAGAGTATTCCCAAATATTCGTCATTTACTTCATCATTTAGTCTTTGGTATGAATATAGTTATTCGGTACCTTTAAATACAAATCCAAAACCAAAAAAATGAATTCGTAACTATTTCAATATAATTTTTATTTGTAATCTATAATAAGACCAGAATAGCTTAAAAGAAGAAACATTTTTAAATAGTATTCTTGAAGCTCTTCGATGTACCCACAATTCTTTCCAATAACAATACATTTTTTATGATATTCTATATATCAAAAACTTACTATAGAATAAAGAGATACATATGAAAATCCTAAATAAAAATAAAAATACATACCGTTATCTATAGTATTTAGCTTTTAACTAGATGAATTATAAATTTTTATGGATCGAAAGCTTAGTGGGGAAATAACTGATCAATCCTTAAGATTGTTTGATAAGCAGTTAAAAACTGAAAAACAACGATTATTATTATTGTTATTAGACCTATTATTATGCGATCCAAAAGATCTATTGTGTCCCTTAGTCGGATTAGAGTATTTCTCCAAGTCCGATTTATTTAACGAAAGACAGTATAAAGCCTATCTTTCCTGGCCTTGAATCCTTATGTTTAAGGAAATACCCTCCTAGGTGTTTCATCGCTTGTGCATCAGTGCTGGGCAATCTCCTAGCACATGGTATGCGGTTTCTGTCTTTTTTCTGCAGTATCTGCAGTCTGAGTTGGATTAGATTTTTAACTTTCTTAGGTGATTATTCAATCTACAGTGATCCCGTAATAACTTAAGTTAATCTTACTTTGTTCTATGCAATCTTTGAATTGCTTTTAGGTTGTAAGACTCCAAAAGTATTTTAGATTGCGATACTCTTGATAGTTCTCCCCAAAACAACTTATTTTTCAATTATATTAATTATGAAATCCTCAAACTATACTGTAAAATTAAATAGTCCACAGCTAAAACACGAATTACAAACTTAACGATC